CTCTGCTTCCAGACTGCTCAGTAGCCAACTGGGTAGTTCCACTTTCTTTAGCCCCAATGGTTGGAGGGGGGACAATTTTCATTGGGGCAATGGTGTGCGAGAAAATTGTTAAATATTCCTTCCTCATTCACTATACCCCAAATCAGGATTGCTCCCTGCTGCAATTTAGGGGTAAAAATGATGGGGGAGATATGAATAAAATGCATTCTTGGGGGTAGGCGTGGAAGTTGAATATTGAAAGCATTACTCTGTGTGTGTGTGTGTGTGTGTGTGTGTGTGTGATTATTTATTTATTTATTCAATATTTCTAAACCACTTAAAATATTTTTTAAATCCCTAAGCAATTTACAAAAATGACATAAAAAACAAAGAAGCACTATAATAAAAACAGTAAAACTGCATTATGAAAACAGGATGGAATTCAGCTAATATGGTCGTTCTGTTCCATCTGGCAAACAGAAATCCTTGCTCTGACAGAATCTCCCCTCTCCTCCCACTGTGTGCTGTTCTGGGGGTTCTCCCAACCCCCCACAGTGGATTTGGAGGCAGGAGAGGGGGGGAAGCTCCATTGTGCTAGTAGGAGTCCTTGCATTGGCTTTTGTTCGTGCTCTGGGTTAGCTGAATCCAGCCCAGTAGAAGGTTAAAACAGGAATTCAATAATAACTGGGTCCAATGTTATGAGTCAGGGAAAGCTTGCACAAAGAAAACATGTCTTCACAAGATGTCTGAAGCAACTAGTAGATGATGTCTCGAGTATGACAGAGGGAAGGGCACTCCACAGGGGCAATGGCAGAAAATAATAGAATCATAGACTTGTAGAGTTGGAATGGACCCTGAGGATCATTTAGTCCAACCCCCTGCAAATGCAGGAATATGCAACTGCCCCATAAGGGGATTGAATCTGCAACCGTTGCGTTATCAGCACCACTCTCTAACCACCTGAGTGTCTGTTCTCAGGTTAACACCCTGTGACCTGTAATCCTGTAGGGTGTGGTGCTACAAGTAAAATTTCCCCAGGTGATCTTGTTGATCTTACATGTCTTCTGCTCTAACGATTCCCCAAGTCATGATTGGTAGCCTGCTAGTCCAACTCCAGAGAATGTTCTCTGGGCCCAAACAGACAACCAAGCCACTCTGGGGTGAGTTCTTTCACCCTGTCATAGCTTTATCATCTGAATCATCCTGCAAAGTGGTTGGGAGAAATTGTCAATAAATCAGATGCAGAGGTGTGCAGTAACATTGCCATCTGTAACAACATTCTGTGACAGGTTCTGAAATGTACCAGAGCCATCAGAAACTATAAGCATTAGAGCTCCTCTTCATCAGTTGCTTGGGAACTGCTGTACAGCTGTGCTCCACTCCACTTGGGTAACATCAGAAGCCTTACAGCATCCAACTCTACAATTCCATGATTCTGTATCAGAGGACACATTGTCTCTTCAGAAATGAATTGGCTGCAGCAGATTCCCTATCACCTACGTAATGCAAGGAGAAGGACTCTGTTCACCATCTCCTTGGGCCAGGGATTCCCAAACTTGGGTTTCCCACTCCAGCTGTTTTTGGACTACAACTCCCATCATCCCTAACTAGCAGGACCAGTGGTCAAGTGTGATGGGAATTGTAATCCAAATACAGCTGGAGACCCAAGTTTGGGACACTCTGCCTTGGGCACCTTCCTTTGTCCCCAAAATACATAAATGCTATTGAAATTATTGCTCCAAAAGGGGGAACATGTGGTCCACCAGATACTTTTGTGGACAATGTAGGATCACTGCACAAACTAGTCCTTTCAAAGTGCTTAGATCCGATTTATTAGCCAACCTCACAAACGTACATTTAGAAACCATTTATACTAATTGACCAGACCTTATTGATTTCACAGAGAGTCAGTGCTTAATATCTAAATGAAAAGTTGCCAGGGCTTGAAGTCTGCTTGCAAGTCAGACTCTCTTGCCTGAAAGACCATACTTATACAGTGGTACCTCGAGTTAAGAACTTAATTCGTTCTGGAGGTCCGTTCTTAACCTGAAACTGTTCTTAACCTGAGGTACCACTTTAGCTAATGGGGCCTCCTGTTGCCCCCGCCACACAATTTCTGTTCTCATCCTGAAGCAAAGTTCTTAACCCAAGGTACTATTTCTGGGTTAGCGGAATCTGTAACCTGAAGCGTCTGTAACCCAATGTACCACTGTACTCCCAGTTATGTGGGAGATGACTGAGTCAGTGGCAAAGAAATCGCACTCTGAACATGTTTGAAGGATTTTTATAATTACTGCACAGGCTCCGGAAATCAGCCTCACTAAAAGATACCAAGAAAGCCCTGTTGAATATCCAGTTAAACATAAACTCTCCTGAGACAACGTATTTTAATGTCAATAACAGTACTGATTGTTAGGATGCGAATAAGCAATCAGCATTTCAAACTGCCAATTATTTTTCTTTGGCCTTGCTTTTCCATGCGCGCCATACATTTAAAACATATGTATGCCATTCATGGCTACCCCCAAAAAATCCCAGCAACTGTAGTTTGTCCCTCATAGAGCTATAATTCCCAACACCCTTAACAAACTATATTGAACAGGAAGAAATCAGCAGGAGAAACTTTTCCCAGCATACAGACACACTGATAATGAAAACTTCACCTGCTGGATTTCTGCCTGGTGGACCATTGTTAAAAGCACCAAAGCAAAGCCAGAAAAAAAAGTTGTCAGTCCTACTGTAGCTGCCTGTGAATACAGTAGTTGCATGTGGGGCTCTGGGTCATGGTAAACAAGGAGTTAATGCTAGCTTAGCTGTCCTGTTTTTTATAGGTGTCGGGAGGGGTACAGCAGGTGACAGAAAGTTAGTAGAAACATTGAGAACTTTGGATTTCAAAAGGAAATGTTTGCTCGGTCAGTCTTTAAAAGTAATGATAAACATTATGGAAGGTGGGAAAAATCTTGATGGTTTAAAATATCCTGCTGAGTCATTCAGGCAGCTTCTCACTGTGCAAGTACTTGGGAATGTTAAGTAACTGGCTTGCTTGATTATATGCATAAATAATCTGCTATGTTTTGCATCTTGCAGATAGGTGACTAGTAGGTTGCTGCAGTCATTTCTGCTCGCTATGCATTTATTTAGGAGTAAGTGTCACTAGGAGGATTAGGTTTGTGGGGAGATTGTACTTCCCAAGCTGACAAACACATTGGATGCTATTTTTATTGTCGCTATATTGCCTAAAAACTAAATTCTGCTGTAGTAGAGAGAAAGACCAGAACCCACATCCCACTAAATGTCAGCCCGGTAAAAGCATTCTTAACGCCCTGTGTCCAGGAGACTCTGCCCCACCCCCTTTTCCTGCTCTATCCCCCCCCCCCCACACACACACTTTTGTTTTGTCTTGTGGGATATTTTGTGGAATTCCTCAGCTTCATCAGTTTCTATAGAAACCTTTATGTCTCTGATCAGCAACTAGATCTTTTGATACACTCCTTTGAAGGAAGGGGCAGGGCAAAAACACATTGTTCTTCTTCATATATTATGTAGGAAAACATTACCCTGGCCTTCACATAAAATAACGTGATCAAGAAAGCTTACAATCAATCAACCAATGACACAAATTCTATAAATAAACTACGTAGGAATAACAGCCAAAAATCAATGTTGTTGCATTCTCCACACATCTGCGCAGTGAGACATTTCAGAGGTGCAACACTTACCCGGGTTCAGCTTCCTCTGGAAGGAGGTTGCGGAAGGTTTCTGGCATTTTGTAGTGTTTGACTTTCTTTACAAACAGGCAGGTTGAGCAGGGGTGGAGGTACAGCTTAACCAAATCAACTGCACCACCACATCAGTTTCTCGGAAAGAGGCAGCTCCCCAAAAGCTTGCCTCTTTCTCCAAACTCAAGCTGTAGTTTCAATTATTTCTCTTCACTCACAGGCCTAGGCTGCATCTTCCATTGAGGGCGAAGATATGCCCCCTACCACCTTGTCTGATTAAGTTTTGTTCAATAGTTTGAACAATCCAGAGTGGTCCTGTATATATAAAAAGAATGAAGAAATGGCACCCATTGTGTAACAACTGGCTCCAGTGGAGACACATCTGTCAAATATCCTAGGCTATTAATACTCCTCAGGCAATTCCAATACTCTGGCAAGGTATTGTGAGTCCTATTCACAGAAATCTGATACAGTGGTACCTCAGGTTAAGTACTTACCGGTAATTCGTTCCGGAGGTCCGTACTTAACCTGAAGCACCACTTTAGCTAATGGGGCCTCCTGCTGCTGCTGCGCCGCCGGAGCACGATTTCTGTTCTCATCCTGAAGCAAAGTACTTAACCCGAGGTAATATTTTTGGGTTAGCGGAGTCTGTAACCTGAAGCATATGTAACCTGAAGCGTATGTAACCTGAGGTACCACTGTAGTAATACCCAGGACAATATAATTTGTCTGCCACACTATACCCCCCATTCCTGTTATCATTCATGCAAGTTTATTTTCCTTCCTCCTGCCTGAAACACATTTATAGTATGAGGGGATGTACTCTGTACAGTACTAGCAATTTGTGGGACAGGAGTTCAGATTTGATCCATAGAGTTGTCTGTACTTGCTGCACGTCATTCAACATTTTCATTATATTCATAAATATTGTTAATGACTTTTTTTGTCTTTTTGTCTTATTGTCTTATTGACTTATCTCCAGCTGTTTAGCATGCTCAAGCCACATCTGTCTGTTGGTGGTATACCACATAGGTCGGCAAAAAAAATCAGGAAACAAATATAGTATCTCAAATGAACAAAACATAAAAGAGATTAGGTTCTGGTGCTCACTGGTGTAATACTGTTTATAGTAGTTTAGTTTGTTTTAGAATAAAACACTTCTTGGTTTTCCCCCCTTCTCTCCACATCTGTGTTGAATTGTTCAAGAAGTGTTTTATAGATGTGGAGAGAATTTTTATTATTATTAAATTGCTCTATTTTTTCAAGCTAGTTCTTGTCTTCCTTAAAATCTAATCAACTCACAAGGTTTTCAAGCTCCTAGTAAGAGTGTTTTGCTCCAAAGTGGGTTCGGTGTGAGATGGCAAATGGGTGCAGGCCCCTCCCTCAACAGATAAAGCTCGAGTAGAGAGGCCGTTATGTGAGCTAGAAGTTGGATGCAGAAAGGCTGCGGCCTGGAAAGGCAATGTTTGATTTCTGCTTGAATCCAAGGCTGTGGCTATGGGAGAAACGAGACCCTTTTGGGGTGTAGATTCTGTGAACTCCTCCATCCAATGCTCAGGTTGTATATATATGTAATTAAGCCATATATCTTAAAGACACCACCATCTCCACTGTTCCTCATTCCCAAAAGGAAACAAACTCTCAATAAGAGCCTAGAACCCTTGGAATTTCACACCACTTGGAGACTGAGCACAACAATATTGAGCTACAATACAGTTTCACTGTGAGCGCTGGGGCCTTTTCTTTTTAGTTTTATTCCACAAAGGTACCCTTTCCCATGTGCTACATCAGAGATGAGGAACTTGTGGTCCTCCAGATGTTATTGAACTAGAAATCGCTGACCACCGGCTATGCTGTGGCTGACCGGGGTTGGAGTCTACCAACATCCGAATATTTACAGGTTCAACATGCCTAATAAAACTTAAAACTTTTCTGAACTCTTTACTAAGGCCTACATAGCTTTTCCCTCCGCATCCTACTCTTGCATCAATGCAGGACCGCATTAATGGGATGTCTGCTTTCATGGTGCACATTGCTGGTGCAGTCTTTAATAATAAGTTCACCTGAATCCTGCCAACTCTTCCATATACAGTTTCTCATGCATACTGTATAGGATTTCTATGATATTGCTAAGGTTTTGTGGTTTTGCCAGAATCCTATTTTCAATTCTTCAGCAGTGTGTCATGTATTTGGAATTAGATGCTGGCTTTTAGAAAGTAATTCACTTTGACTTTAAGGGGTGGGTGGGATCCAGTCTGTCACGTCAGCCACATTTTAGGAACTATGATAGAAACGGAAGATCTCCTGGCATACAGCATCATGTTTTCTCCAGCCATAGATGGCATGAGTCAGTCTTTAGAATATTATGTGATCTGCTGTGCAAGCCTAAGCATGTTAATAGTGTCAAGTCTCATTGTGCTCAGGTTTACTTCCTAGTAAATGTGTTTAGTATTAGAGCCTTCATTGTAATATGTGAACGATCTTGCTCTTGGTCTGGTTATTGTACTAAGCGTGTTTCCACACTAGCTCTTTTCTCCAATATGGGTACTACTCACCTATTCTTATTGCATTTCTGTTTCCCCTCTGCCCAGGTGCTTACTATTCTGAGTGCTTGCTTGTAGCAATACAGTGGTACCTCAGGTTACATACGCTTCAGGTTACAGACTCCGCTAACCCAGAAATAGTACCTCGGGTTAAGAACTTTGCTCCAGGATGAGAACAGAAATAGTGCTCCGGCGGCAGAAGGAGGCCCCATTAGCTAAAGTGGTGCTTCAGTTTAAGAACAGTTTCAGGTTAAGAACGGACCTCCGGAATGAATTAAGTACTTAACCCAAGGTACCACTGTAGTTGAACTTTTGTCACAGCTGTAGTGTGATTGTCCTACCTTCCCCAAACCAAATCTAAGATGCTAGGAACAGTATTACTATTTCACCTGTTCTGGGACTTAAGAATGTTTGGTTATATAGTATGTAACCCCACACATTTCCATTACCTGGACAGCTCTCAACCATTGCACTTCTAGATCATAACCCCTTGGATATGCTGCAGTGAGTCCTGCTATAGCAGGCATCCCCAAACTCAGCCCTCCATATGTTTTGGGACTACAATTCCCATCACCCCTGACCACTGGTCCTGTTAGCTACAGATGATGGGAGTTGTAGTCCCAAAACATCTGGAGGGCCGAGTTTGGGGGTGCTTCAAGGCATAATTTCCTTGAAGGCCTACACTGCAGCAATGAAGGTGAAGAAAAATGTCAGTTTGCTTTAAAATATATGTCTCAAGCTGAGCAGATAACATCACTTTGGGGGCGGGGTGAAGCACGGCTTGCCACTCTGCCTTTACAAGGAGACGTCTTCCATGTAAAGGCAAAGCGAAATTGGCAAACTGATTGCCAGTTTCAGAGTTTTCAACCCTCTCTGTGTCAGCAGAGAAGTGGTAGGGCACAGGACAGGCAGATGAAGTTTCTCCCCAAAGAATCAACTGACGGGGCACTTAAATTGGGAGGATAGTGACTTCCCTCCCTGGATCAGTAGTTGAAGCAATGCTGGCTGTAGCAGGAACTATACTAGGAGGTGCCTTATTTTATGTTTATGTAGCGGAACTTTTCTCTTTGGGAGAAGCTGATCCATCACATGGAAATATTTATTGCACAATTTAACAGGGTATCAATGCCGTGAGGCCCTTCTTTGTGTGCCTTCTCCACGAGAGGTCTGGAGGGTGACAACACGAGAACAGGCCTTTTCTGTAGTGGCTCCCCATTTGTGGAATGCTTTCCCTAGGGGGGCTCGCCTGGCACCTACATTACATGTCTTTAGGCACCAGGTGAAAACATTTCTTTATAACCAAGCCTTTGGCTGATTAACTTTCTATGGCCTTTTAAATGTGTTGGGGCAGGGGGGAATTATTGGTTTGTTTTTGTTTTGTTATGTACCGGTATGTTGTGTTCTCCTTTTGTATTTTTCTGTTGTGAACCACTCTGTGATCTTCAGATGAAGGGTGGCATTCAAGTTAAACAAACAAACACACATACACATTCACACACACACACACACACACCAGTGCTTATATAGCTTTAGGCCAACAACATCATCTGAAAACTATCTTAAAGTCTGTTCCAGCCATCAAAATTTTGAAAATCTCATAAACTCATAAAATTGTAGAGCTTGAAGGTACCCCAAGGGTTATCTAGTCCAACTCCTTGAAATGCAGGAATCTCAACTAGATAATACATGACAGATGGCCATCCAGCCTCTGTTTAAAATCCTCTGAGGAAGGAGAGGCCACCAACTCTCATTGGTGTCTATTCCACTGTCAAACAGCTCTTACTGTCATAAAGTTCTTTCTGATGTGTAGTTGGAATCTCCTTTCTTGTAACTTGAATCCATTGGTTTGGGTACCAGCCTCTGGAGCAGGAGAAACAAGCTTGCTCCATCCTCCCTGTGAAAGCCCTTTAGTTGTTCAAGGTGGCTATCATATCTCCTCTCAACCTCCTCTTTACCTTATATTTCTGTATCTAGGCTACTTGTGGATTGTTTAAAGCAGAGTGTGTAAAGTAGGTGAATTTTGTAAGGGAAGCATATCAAATGGAGGTTGTATAGAGATTTTGATGGTGTAGGTGTTCACCCACCATTGCTGAGTCATATGAAAAGTGCTTTATTTCTACTTATCCAGGAGCTAATAGAATGATATCTAAACATATGCAGGCAAACCATACTCCAAGGAGCAAGGGGCAAGTAATGTACCCTTCATGTTGGTTGATAGTGTGCTCCTGACATTTACATAAATCCTGTGGGAGTACGTTACCTCTTTCCCCTAAAGGAGTAAAGAAGAAAGAGGTGGCAAGGCAAGTGAACAACAAATATTTTGTATCGTATACCACACTACTCCAAATGGTGGTAAATTTTGAGACAGAACTGCTTAAAAGATACTTTTCTTGTGAGGGGAAGAGTCCTGACTTATGATGTTTACAAACAGAGCATAGGAGAACAGATAGTCCATCAGACAACCAATGCTAATATTTAAAGCAAAATCCCCAGAAGCAAACAGGGTGCCCTCAGCTTCTTGCTGGCCAACTGCAAAATATCATATTTCTATTTCTTTGATGACTACATTTCTCTCTAGTTAACATAAACGCATAATAGAAGCCCTTCTAGATCAGGCCAAAGGCCCATCTACTCCAACAATGCAGTGGCCAACCAGATGCTTGTGGGAAGCTGGCAAGCGGGACCATACCAGCAAGTAGGGTGCAAGCTATAGCTAGGAGCCATCAGCCATCCTAGACCATCAATGCTCCCTTAAGCGAACAGCTTTTGAGATATCATAGACGCATCTTTAGCTACTGAGCTATACAAAACCCTAGAGGAATATCTTATTTCTACTCTTTGCATGGACATTCTAGTGTATTTAACATCCTTACACTCTAGAACCTGAACAAGTTTTCTACAAGACACTCTGCACTGTGTTACAAAATGGAAATCTGTTTCGCAACTGCAATTTACCGGTATGTGTTAGACATTTAGATTCATGTCTTCTTGAGTCACATGAGCAGTGAATTCATCTAATATTGCACAAGTTTTGGATCATTGTGTAACTATGGTTAGGAGAACGTCACCAATAATTTTAATCCATACTGAATATGTATTGTCACTTTATAAAGGATAAGATATTGCAATTTTCTGTCAGGAATACAGTAGTACCTCGGGTTAAGTACTTAATTTGTTCCAGAGGTCTGCTCTTAACCTGAAACTGTTCTTAACCTGAAGCACCACTTTAGCTAATGGGGCCTCCCGCTGCCGCTGTGCCGCCAGAGCCCGACTTCTGTTCCTATCCTGAAGCAAAGTTCTTAACCTGAAGCACTATTTCTGGGTTAGCGGAGTCTGTAACCTGAAGCGTATGTAACCTGAAGCGTATGTAACCCGAGGTACCACTGTGCCTATGTTCATATAGTACAATTCAACATTTATTTTAAAAAATCAAAATGTTGCCTTTAAAACATAGCATACGAAGTTGGGATTTATTCTTTTTTTCCCTTTCAAAATGCTTCCATTTTGTGGGAGATGGGATAGGTAGCAGGCAGTACTATACCCTGTGGCATTTTCAACACCTTGATAGTGAGCCCAATATAGATGCACAGCCTTGCTGAAATTAATTTTGTTTTCTAAGTTCATACATTATTAAGTGCACTTGCAGTAAGAGCCAAAAGCTGGAGCCTTGAGCACTTTTTCTAGAATGCTGTTCATAAGCTCAACCCTATGAAATAAGTTTCGATGACTACAGATACTGGGCACAGAAGGAAGTACTAAACAGAGCAAGGATAGCTTTCAGATCTTCAACGCTGGTACACTCACATTGTTCTGAAAATGCCCCCACACCATGTTCACCTATCCTTGTGAATTAGCATCGGACCACGGCTAATTTTCAGACACGGGTCATGCACATGACCAATCACTGCTACTTCCTAATGTAGTGCCTTAATCCTGCAGTTCTTA